GTGAGCGGGCTGACGCCACGGCACTCACTCTAGCCGCGGGGGCGACAGAGTGAGACTCTGTATGCAAAAAAAAGTAGACCATCTATCGGGGTGTTCGGGCATGGGAGGGAGGGAGGGGACGTGTATGACAGACACACGAGTGGACGTGCACCGTCTGGGGGATCGGGCTGACGCTGAGTCGTGACTCGTAGGGGGGGAGGGGCAAGGGCAATATACTGTATCCTGACAGTTGTGACCCCCATAATATGCGAAATTTAAAAATAGAAAAAAAATCATCACCTTATCACCGTCAGGATCACTTAGTCTCTGGTGCTCGACACATAAGTGGCAGACTTTGGCCATTAGCTCGTACGGGTGCATAAGATAGACGGAACTGAGCAGGATGGGGTAAGTATGTGACGCGTGCGTGCAGAGAGAGGGGGAAAAAAAAAAGTCACCAATGGTTACGTTCTCTTTGACATTAATCTTTTTTCCTGTATACTATACATCTTATTTCATTAAGTTCTCTTTTGTTTTATGTTTTTTTTTTTGAGACAGAGTGCTCATGTGTGTGCCTATGAGCTAGAGTGGAGTGCCGTGGCGTCAGCCTAGCTCACAGCAACCTCCAAATCCTGGGCTCGAGTAATCCTTCTGCTCAGCCTCCGGAGTAGCTGGACTACAGGCATGCCGCCACATGCCGGCTAATTTTTATAGTTGGGGGGGGTTATGAGAGTGTATCAGTTGGCCAAATTATTTCTTCTGGGGTATTGTGAATAGTAGATTGAGCGTAGTCGTCGCTCTGGTCAGTGGCTGTTTTCATACTCTGATGGCAATCCCCGCCTCGGCCCTTCCCAAAGGCTAGGGAATGGAGATTACAGGCGTGAGCCACAGTGCGTAAGCCGGGCCTCTTTTTTATTTTTGAGACTAGAGTCTCACTTGTTGCCCAGGGGTATGATGAGTGCTCGTGTCGGTCGAGCTCGCTCACAGCAATCTCTCAGACTCCTGGCTCATGAACGATCACTCTGCCTCAGCTCTGCCTCCCGAGTAGCTGGACTACAGGCTATTGCGCCGGACGATCGTCATGTTTTGTGATATATATAGTGAGTGTGTAGTTGGTCAATTAATTTGCTTTTTCTTCTTCATTTCATTGGTAGGACTGGTGATAGTCCGCTCTTGCTCAGGCTGTGTTTGGGTTTGGTCTCGAAGTCGCTGGTATCTTTGAGTGCGATTCCATCTCCGCCTCAAACTTCCCAGAATGCTTATGGCATTAACAAGTGATGCACCTGGTGCCGGGCTCTCTGTAAGTTCTCGTTGATCCAAGTTTATTACTATGCTGCAGCTGTTATAATGCAGGACCGGTAAGTAGGAGAGAGACGATAATGTAATACGAGGTATTGATCAGTATTGCGTGTCCGTTTACTTTCTGATCTAGTCCTTTCCCTGTAAACCGACATCCAAAAATAACAGACGTTCAGAGCCAGCTAGTATCTTTGGCTCCTTGAGAGTTTATTCAGAGCACGGTGTTGTTTGCATGTGCATATCTGTTGCAGGTACACCAGACACGAAGCTCACGTGCTGGTAAAGAAGAGTGAGAGTTATTCAGGTTCCTTGGGCGCTAGGATTGGTGTCTTCGACGCCTGTCTATCCACATCTGGTGAGGGCCGAGCGGAGATCACTCGAGGGTCAGAGTTGAGACCAGCGCTGAGCAAGAGCGATACCCGTCTCTTGACTTATAGAAATAGTAGATAATTAATTGGCGGCAACTAATGCATATAGAAAAAATAGTGAGCGTGCTGTGTGGTTGGCGCATGCCTGTAGTGCTCAGGCTCTGAGAGGGTTTGGTGGTGCTGAGGCAGAGAGCGGAGCCAGAGTTGGAGGCTTGCTGTGAGCTGATGTGCTGATCTGTCTCACGGCACTCTATCTCGAGCCCGGCGACAGAGGAGATCTGTGTTGTCAAAATAAAGGATAAGGATGGTTGAAGAATGATGGAATTAACCTGGAGAAATGACTGGTAACTTATTATACCGACGCACACAGAAATGATTTCTGCAGAAGGAATATTTTTCTGCAGAGTAAATATTCTGCATCTGATATGTATGAGGTGGATAATGCGAGAGGAATACCAAAAAAATCAAACAAAAAATCTCCCTGAAACACGCGCGCGTCATCCTCTATTAAGCGCCACAGTTCAAGAGATCCTCCACGTGCAGAGCGAGCGGCACACGAAATTGTGTCAGACATTAAAGCAGCTTCGAGGAATCTATTCACTTGCTAGGAGGCTAAGCAATTTGACTTAACACAATGCAACGCTATATTCTTTTCTTTAACTACATTGTCTCCCAAGAAGCCAGTCATGAAGCTGTGCTTATTGCTGTAAATAGTTTCAAACTCCCAGTGGAAAGAGAAATTCCATTTGTTTTGTTTCGTTTTTTTCTTTTTCTTCTTGTCCATTAGCTCATTTATATATATTACGGGCTAAACATATGTACTCTGTATCTCCGATCCAATGCTCCGGTACACAATCTAAAACACTAAAATCACTCACAGATGAGGGTGTGATAATTCGTGTTAGAATGACAGCTATGGTATATGACGGGTGACAAGCATGGACTATTCTTTGCACACCAAGGTTGTTGTTGCATTTATAAAAATGAATTCAGTCTCTAGATATTTCAATAACCAGCTGCTTAATAAATCTTTTTTTTTTTTCTTGAGACAGGTCTCACTCTGTGCCGGGCTAGAGTGATGCCGGTGCATCAGCTCGCTCACAGCACCTCAGACTCCTGGGCTCAAGCGATCCTCCCTGCCTCAGTCCTTCCCGAGACTGGACTACAGGCATCACACCATCCCGCTAATTTTCTATATATTTTATTGGTCAATAATTTCTTTCTTATTATAGTAGAGCGTGGGGGTCTCGCTCTTGCGTCAGGATGTTTTGAATCCTGAGCGCGAGCAATCTGCCGTGTCGTGGTTCCTTCCCAGGTAAGTTGCCTGGGATGACAGATGAGCCACCGCGCACCGGCGTTGCTTCAGTAAATGTCATTGTCTATTCGACTCAGCTCAATCCACTGGGGCAAGCTGATGTACACAGGAGGGGAAAAGGGAATATCGCTTTCCACCTAGCATATGGAGATGAAACCCGTGTTTAATTGCGAATGCTGGGCGTGAGACCATGAACAAACATTCGACACTCTGACTTTCAGTTTCCTCCTTTCTACTTTCTTGGATGAGTTTGGTGTATCTCATTCGAGGTTGCTGTGAGCGAGGCTGAGGCCGACTCACTCTAGCCTGGGCAACAGAGTGAGACTCTAAAAAAAAAAAAAAAAAATACAGGTTACCAAGGTAAAACAAAAGCAAACATGCTATCTGGTATCTAATCTATAAAGAATTGCATCTTGAGCCTAAATCTGTTCCGTGTGCTTTCCCTGGCTACATTCAGTTTTCTCAGCAGAGTTATGGTCTTGGAAACCAAAAAAGGGCATTAAATATTCCAGAAGCATCCAATGTTCCCTGACATCTCTACTTAAGCACCAACTGTATGCATGAAGCAGCCTACAGATACTTCATTGAGATGGTAGCAGGCTGTCTACAATGCAAGAAAGTGATATACAGTCTACACCAAAATCTGATCCATACCCAGGCTCAATTTGATCTCAAAGCACTCAATAACCAATCCATAGGCAATTTCTTATTAGAAACATTCCCTGAAACCAGGCATATATTCTGCAACATCTATGGTCCTGTTTACTGTATGTACCCCCGTGTTTCTTCCCCGAAAATAAGGCAGGTTTTTATATTTATATTTCCCTCAAGAAGACACCTAGGGCCTGATTTTCAGGGCAATGTGTTATTTTTTTCTTAAGTGCGGTACAACCATCTGGCACTCATTCAACACAGTGGGAATCGTTTGCTTCTGGAACATCATCCTCCACTCTCCAGACCCAATCCCATCCTCGCAATTCTGTTGACTCTGTTTCCTTTAGAGCCAGCCGGCCCGATCTCTCCTGTCGAGCACTAGAGCTCTCACGGGGCGATGAGCAAGGGCTGCTCATGTCTTTCGCTCCGCGACGACACGGCATGGTTGTGCAGATCGCGCTGCCGCAGCCACGCCGGTCCACGTAGGGCTGATTTTCATAGCCCACGCCCACCA